GGGGGCGGGGGGGGGGTGGGATTTGGCAGTTCACGCCTTATGAACCGTCACCCTCCCGGGGACGAACCCCACCGAAGCCGTCAGCGCCCTTGGCCGGGTGAGAGCCACGCAAGACCTGGCTGGAGCTCTGCGCCATCGTCTCTATCGCGACCACCACCGGCCTCACGACACCCGCCCGGCCAAGAACCCGCCGAGCGGCGCAAGGCGCGGGGCTGCGAACCGGGGCACACGCTCGCTCTTGCCTCCCAGCCACCGGCCCGGCTCTCGCAGGGGTCCCCCGGGGAGAGCCGAGACCCCGCTGCCCCCCACGGCATCGCTGAGGGAGGCAGCGGCCCCACGGCTGCCCCGCGGGCCGGCTCAGCCGCCCCTTAGAGGCCTCCTGCGCCGCTGGGGTACTCCGGACCCTCGCCCCCCCCCCCCCCGTTTGCCGAGTCTGGTGGGAAACGTGTGGCTGTGTGACACAAGCGTCGGCATCGAGGTGAATAAACGCCCGGCGTGCGAGATGCCGCGCTCCGCGCACCCTACTGAGATAAAGGCGCGCAGGCACTGGGGGAGGAAAAAGAGGGCCAGGGAGGAAGGAAGAAGAGTCATTAGACGGGACGGGAAAGCCGCGGGCCTTGCGACTTTGCGAGCGGCTGCTGCTGCGGGAGCGGCTGGACCTCCCCGCCGGGGGACCGGGGGCGGGCGGCCACCGCCACCCTCCCGGAGGGACGCGAGGGGAGGCGGCCCCAGCGCCCCGACGGCCGGGGCGCTGCTCCTGCCCGGCCTCCTCGCCCTCCTCCCTCCCTCCCATCCCGCTGCCGAGGCCGGGGCGGCCTCTCCCCCCCCTCCCCCCGCAGCCCGAGGGCGCGGCGGTACCTGCTTGTCCAGCGCAGCATCCTTGGCGCTGCCGGCCGCGCAGCTTTTGGGGGCCGGCACCCTCTCGCAGTTGCAACCCTCCAGCATGTACATGCCGGCGGGCCGGGCGCTCTGCTCGCCTTCGAAGTAGAAGAGCACGTTTTGGTAGAGGGCGAACCACTTCTCGTGCCAGCGGCTGGTCTCCGCCGTCTTCTTGCTCAGGTAGCCCCGCTTGGTGCCCTCCTTGCGGGCCAGCAGCGCCAGGTACAGGGCATGACCCTCGTTATACCGCACGCTCTTCTGCATGGTGGCCGGCAGCTCGCAGCCCCCCCACCCCCCCGGCGGCAGGCCAGCCTCACCGCGCCGGCACCGGCTCTGCCGCGCCGCGGCAGCGCTTCATGGGCGCCGGCA